ATGGCTTGTAACCACCTAAGCCATTTTATTTTGTCTGTGTTTATTTGCACTTCAGTATCAGTGTGTTGCAGGTATCTTAACACTGAATGATGATTTACAACCAGATAGAAACCATCTGTAAATGTAAGCTTTGTGCAAAGTGAGACGTTTCTTCTCTTATTTCTGCTTTCCTTCTCCTACTGAGAGGGGTCTGCTCGAGGCAGCTGGCAGAGCTGATGGGGAAGAAGCAGTGTTTCTTCTCTGTCTGACACTGAGCTTAGAGCTGAGAGGAGCACTTCATTTTTCTTGTCTCTTCAGTAACTTAATCCTTTGTGGTTTTACTGCTTCTGAAATAATAAAGTCAGTCTGGAGTCAAAGGAAAGCCCTTCTCAATTCTCAGGAAAATACAAGGATGAAGTAACCTTGGTCTTTCCCAAGCTAGTGAGCAAACATTTTCTGCTGGTGACTTTCCCTGGCTGGGAAAGCAGAAGCATTTCCCACAAATAAAACTCTATCCTGGAAATGACAAGGAAGGTGCTCTTTCCCAGAGTCCATAATTCAGATCTGGGAACATCTTAGCCAAGGGCCAAGATAATTAGCTAAGGGAAGACAGCCCAGGAGACAAAACATTGGTTTTCCCTGTGCAATTTGCCACAGCTAAATTAATTCTCATGTTCCAGTGGGAATCTGCCTTTTCTTCACCTAGATTTCATTACAAAACCTGTGAAAATTATGGAAGCCTCCAAACTGGCACTGTGTGTGCAAAACAATGCTACTGTTCAGGAGCAGAAATGTGTTCCAGTGTCCCAGTTGTAATGGGGAGTAGGGGTTTTTTTGGTAGGTTCTTTCCTTCCTTATCTTGCTTGGAAAAGGAAAATGTGCCTTCACTAATGTGGAGAATCAAGTAAATGGGTCAAGGTTATGCCCTGCAGAGAGGTTTTATTTTGGCCAAATTCTTTTAGCCCTTTCTGCTGTATGTTTAGAATATTTTAGACACAAGGAATAACAGAAATTATTTATGCCACAAATTGTTTCATAATTTTTTTCTTTTCAAATCTGTTGCCTCACAGTCTAAAAATCTTAAGAAATATATACAGGAAGATCTGTGAGTAGTGGTGTAATTCCTCCAAGGGCCTTGTCAACCTTAGGGCCAATACATTTATTATCATTTAAGCCTGACATAGAGATCTCATTGTGAGACCTGTTCCTCACATGAGTGCTTGTTATGCTCCTGAGTGTGTATGTTGACTTCCACAGGACTATTTCTGTCTTAATTTTGCAGAGCTGGTCTTCAATGGGTTTCAATCTGTCCTTATTACAGGACAGATTTTCCCTTAGTGGGAAAAACCTGGTGAAATACAGAAGGATGTGAGGGCAGAATCTGGACCAGTTCATACTGAGAGCAAGGAAAGTTATTTTTTCTCTTTAAAACAACCAAGCCATTATAGATATGCTATTTGGAGGGAATTTGCTTTTTAATTCTCAGTATATTTGACCTTCAAAAGGACAAAAAACAATGTAATTCAGAGGTGTGCTGCCTACAAGCTAAGCTCCTGGTAGTGTCTGTACAGCCAAGAAAAGTGAAAACAATGAAACAGACACTTTTGAGTTCCCAGTGAGAAAAAAGGAAACTGGCAGCCTTTTCTTGCTTTATTGTTAAATATCTCTATTTAAATGCAAATCATCATCTGACACTGCCAAACAAAGTCATGTACCAGCAGCAGGCATGCAAGTTAAAAAAAATTTTAAAATGATGTTTTGAAGATGCTGAATTGCTTTTATTTCCAGGAGGAATAGAGGTGGCTGAATAAATTTTTGGCTGCATAGCAAGGCTCAGCTCAGTACATAGGTGCTTCAGATATGAAGATTTGTATTTTAAGTACAACTTTTACAGTGGTGTGGGTAGGCTCTTTAGTTAGAGATCACTTGGAGGGATGCTGAAGCTTCTTCTGTGTTATCCCACAGCAGTATTACAGTGGAAAGCACAGGTGTTTACAGAATGTTTTGTTACAAAACGGGGCAGGAACAGCCAAATTGCTGCCTTAGTGTGCCTAAGAATGTGTATTTACAAGTGACCTGTGCTTTATGGTGGTGGGTGCAGGGTCTCCAACTTCCTCCCTGAGCTCCAGACCTCAAGGAAGGACTGGGATAGAGGAGAGTCTTCCATGAGGAGCCCACATTGTGGGTGGGTTGTGGCTCCTGAGCTGCCCCAGCAGGGATGGAAGGGTTCCCTGAGTGTGCATCCATCCTGCTCCTCCTGCTGATCAGGAGTAGCTGGTTAATAAAACCCCCTCCAGGGGAGCATTTCTATTCAGTTCAGCAAGTCCCAAAATCAGCTAACAACCTGTATCTTATCAAGCCTCATCTGTTAAAATTCTTCCTTTAATTTGCTGTTTACCTCACCATTTAAAACTTTCATTCTTATAAATCAGTGTGGATATATTTGCTTTCTGTGCAGGGTTCCAGTAGTCTCTTAATAATCATAATAATCGTTATTACTGATTAAAGTTGCATTATTCATGCCAGATGGAGCGCCCTCCCTGTCAGCCAGAATGAGTTTGCATTTATGTAGTTATAGTACATTTGTGATCTAAATAAACAGATGGTAGAAGGTGACAGAGAATTATGTGCTGGTGATATCAGCAACAATGTTTCCCAAGTATAATTGCTTTAAATGAACATGAATGCAACAAGGAGCTGGTAGCTTTAACAAGGTAGTTGGCATTCAGTGTGGTAATTACGAGGCAGCATCATCAATAGCACCAGCAATGCCAAGGGAGGAATGCTGGCTTTGAAAAATTAGTGACAGAGAGTCTGACTTCACACAACCATCAGGGTGGGTTTGCTCAGCTCTGGAACATCTCACAGGTGTGAGCACCCTGCTGTAAGAGGAGCAGTGTTTGTCTTTAGGGTGATCCAACCTCAGCTGAGAGACATTTTGCACTTTCTCCAGCGTCCTCTCCCATCAGGGCACGTGGCAAGTATTTGATTTAGTGTAATGGAGCAGTGTTAGCAGCAGCAGCTGTTAATACACGATTGAAAGGATTGAACCTGGATCAGGTTCAAAGGGGAAATTCACTTAACAGAATCTCAGCAGTACTCAGTGATGTATAAAAGTTTAATCAAACACAAGGTTGGCTTCCTGCGATCAAAAGCACAGCGATAAGGACGTGCAGAGTCTTCCACAAGATTTACCTTGGGTGTCTCGCTCATCCCATCAGCTCTGGCATTGTGAAAGGCTGGCCTGCTGCCCCTCAGGCACTGCCACACCTGGGAGTGTGCCTGGACCTTGGCTACATCCAGATGGCAGCCATGGAATGGGGTCTCCCTTCCCTCTCAGCCCAGACTGCTGTGGGACTGTCTGAGCACTCTCTCCTGTGATGCTGAAGTGCAGCCAGAGGAGAACATTCCAGCTCTTCTCCTTGCTTGCCAGTCCCTCTCACATGGGTCAGCATTTTGCCATGACATGGACACATGAACTCAACTCCCTCCTCAGTCCAAGTGAATTTCAGTCACTAATAACTAGGTAGTTTATAAAAACTTAGCATTGTTAATGCTTCTTCTTACAGCCGTATTTTACAATGCAAGCACCTACAGTTCTTTTTCTTCAGGGATTAAACCTGTCAGTGTAGGCACAGTTTGTGGTCATTGGGAGTGGGGCTGGGCCTTACCCTAATGGGCTACAGGTGAATGCTGTTGAAGGGAACGAGCCATGGAGTGCCCAGGGGCACTGACCAACCACCAAAGGGAACAGAGGGCACACAGGTGCAGGGCATCAACAGGAGGGGATAAAAGGCTGGGCTGAAGAACAAGAAGGGCAGATGCTTGCAGCCTGCTGAGGTGCCCTGGTGTTACTGTGTGTGGGCAGTGCCTGAAGCCTTCTGAAGAGGTGAGGGTGGGTTGGAGCTTTCTGAAATTGTGTGGGGATGCTCTGTGTGTTGTGGCTGTCTCAGCTGTGACATATCACCATGAGGAAAGATGATGCAGAGCATCGTATCCCAGGCCTGAAGGAACATGAGGTTCCTTCTGAAGGACAACCAAAGGCAACTAAAGAACCAGCAGCCAGAAAACAGAAGCTCCTGTGAGCTTTGCTGTCAGTGGGGTTCAAGTGGCTGCACAGGGCACATTTCCCTGACCATAATGTTGGGCATGCAGACCATGCACATTTGTGGGGAAGAGAGGGTGGCTTTTAATCGAAGGCATTGAGTGGGATGTCCCATTGTTTGTAGGGACACAGTTTGTGGTGATTGGGAGTGGGGCTGGGCCCAGCCTCGTCCTTAATGGGCTACAGCTGTGCAGGACAGGTGAATGCTGTTGAAGGGAACGAGCCATGGAGTGCCCAGGGCCACTGACCAACCACCCAAGGGAACAGAGGGCACACAGGTGCAGGGCATCAACAGGAGGGGATAAGAGGTTGGGCTGAAGGACAAGAAGGGCAGATGCTTGCAGCCTGCTGCAGTGCCCTGGTGTTATTGTGTGTGGGCAGTGCCTGAAGCCTTCTGAAAAGGTGAGGTGTTACTCTGTGGGTTGAACCTTTCTGAAATTGTGTGGTGATGCGTTGTGCATTGTAGTTGTCTCAACTGTGACAATTGTTCGGATGAAATTGGACAGGAGGTAAGTAGCTGTAAAGTTTTTCCAGCACAGCCATCTCCTCTCCAGTGAAGGAATCAGCAGGTTTTTACATAGGCTGTGGAAAGCAGCAGTGATGGCACTGAGTGATAACATTGTTCCTTAGTCCTCCAGACTTGCTCATACTTCTTTTTGTTTTAAAATTTCTGAGTCATTATGCATAATGAAAAGGTATTTAGAGTATAAAGCATTTAGGTAAGTACCTGAATTTCCTATAAGTTTGACACCAGGCCTGGTTATTTGGTTGGGCTTTTATAGGCACTGTTTCACCCTTGCTAAAGTATAAAAACCTTCCAAATACAAGGTGGGCTCTTGTCTTTTGTGCTTGCTGGATGTTAAAGGACTGAAAGGAAGGCATATTTCCAATCTCTCTCTTTCTGTCTGTCCTGCAGGTGGTCGTTGCCACAAGTCCTGCACAGGAAGGTGCTGGGGACCCACAGAGAATCACTGCCAGACCTGTAAGTGTGTAAGAGTGAGAAACAAAGGACTGGAAAACAATGTAGCAGAGATCCTATTTGTTTTTTCTTCCAGTTGTGAAGGGATGCTATAAATTCTGGGTTCTGTGTAACTCCAAAATGTACAAGGGTTTTTTTTCCCCCATATAGTTTTATCAATAGATTGTTTGCTTTTTTTCCTTACCCATATGAATGATATGTTTCTTTCCTCCCCTGGACTTTCTAAAACTCCTTATGCTAACTTGAATTTCCTTTTCACTACTTGGTGGAAACACAGAGCATGGCTCTTGAGAATATTGATGGTTATTGATGGCAGATTTGGAGCTCTTTAATGACTACCTGACAGTGCAATTTTCCTGATGCCAAAATACTCTGTTAATTTCAATGGTAGCCTGGGAATATTAGTTATCTTGCAGAACTGTTTTCTTTATAATAACTTCAGAATATATTTGTATTGTACTGAAAGAGAGAATAGTAGGTTTTTTGTGAAGGAAGTAGTAAGTGAAGGGTCACTCATGCTGTTTTCTGTCCTTGTGAATTTAGAGAGCATGAAAATGAGTTTCTTCTTCCTTCCTAAAGGAGCTTTAAGCTCCTTCATGTAGGCACAAAAGAGCCAGAAGTACAGTGCCAATATTAGCAGATGATAATAATAAAAGAGAAGAAAATCGAGGGTTGTTTTTTCTACAAGATTTTTTCTTCTTCCTGCTTAAAAGAGGGTGAAAACCAGTTGCCTTTACTGGAATCAGTCTTCCTGGGAAATGAAGTGGTTGGAGCTCTGCCACAGAACACTTCCTCAGCTTATGATTGTTTCCTTGGCTGAGTGGTAAATGGGAAGGAAGGCCTGTGACAAATCACTCCCAGGTGAACACCCCAAGTAAGCTCTGAGCTGAGGAGAGTCAGCCCAGTGTCATCTGGGACTTGATAGGAACAGTGCAGAGATGCTGCTTTTTGGTAGGTTTTTTGGGGTTCTTTTTGGTTTTTGCTCTTGGTTGGTTTTTTGACTACTTGGAGTGAGAGCTAGGATGGAGTTAGAACTGGCATACAGCTTGAGGTGAATGTCTGATGAGCCTGAGCAGGAAATCCGAGCTGCCCTGGTGCCCCAAGGGACAGAGCCACCTGCAGAGGCTCTGCCACCTTGCCAGGAGCTGCTTTCCCTTTAGGAGCATCAGCTGATTCTGCTGGAGAAGCTGCTCACAGTTACAGCTGTGTTCTTGTATCACTGCTTCATATTCATCTGCAGGCATGGTTAAAATCCCCTCAGGACACACTGTAGGACTAAGGGACAGTGATGCAGAGCAGATTCTTCTTTGTCTGAATTGAGCTGGGACATCTCCTTCCTCTGCTGGCAGTCTTTGTGATGGCTCTGAGGAAGTCAGTGCTCCTTACCAGGAAAAGGAGTAGATATTGGGTTGTGTGCTTGAGTAGATAATGGAAAGGGACTTAAACCCTAGCTGACCAATTATTTCATATCATTATTCGAATTAATGTGCTTTTTTTTCTCTGTCCTAATGAGAAGCTTGTTTGTCTGTTAAAACTAGTAGCTTTGTAAGAAACTGCATAACCCATCCAAATGGGTAGATTTATTCAGGCCTTCTGTGGTTATCTTATCCAAGAATAGTTTAAAGTAGGTCTTAGCAGTGATGTTCTGTAAGGAGCCCATGATGGTGGTTCAGGCTGTCTCTCCAGCCTCATGGCAAATCCAGCTGTGTGCCTGCAGAGGTCCATGTGGCAGGATCAGCTCCTATGGTCTCAGCCTTCACAAAGCACTGCTCTCAGATGAGGGAACTGATTTGGTGGATTAATGAGGAATTACCAGGGAGGGAAGAGCTTATCTGCAGGGCTGGGAAGGCAGGAGCTCAGCAGGGCTGCACAGAAGGCTGGCTCCAGGAGTGACAGCTCTCAGTGGCTGCCCTTGCAAATCCGAACAGTGGGTACAGGCTTAGGCACAACCATGGGGTTAAAATTATAAACTAGGACAAGTCATATCCCATCCAAGTGTCAGGGAAATAGACAGATCACAGTCTTCTACCTGAGTAGCTATTCCTTATCCTCTCACCTTCAAGCCCACTCTGATGGTCAGGGACAGGAATTAGTTTTACATCCCAGAGTTCTTCTCTGCCTCCACGGCCTCGCTGCACCTTGGACAAGCAGCAGGATTGAAGGAACAGGCTGGTAAAGGGTGTTTCTACATTGGATTTTTGCACAATGTGTTTCCTGCAAACTGAGTGAAGCAAAGAGGGAGAATTTGAGTAGGGACTCAAAACATGCAGGTGGGATTATGCTTTTGCTGCCTTCATGTATGATTTTAAAAGACATGCCTGGCTCTTGGGCTCACAAATGTTGTTAGATACAAGCTGTGTTGTGCACATTGTGTCTACCTTAACCCTGTCACCTTGGGGGTGCACATCTTTCCAACACATCTAGGAAAATGCTCCAGCAGTGCTACATCCAGTGCCAAACCATTTTGATCCTAGAAACAACTCAGAGCTTCATTTTGATAATTTCTTTTTTTTTTATTGAGGATTGAAGCAAAATATTTTAATGAGCCCCCCTCCCAAGATAAGATTTAAATTATTTTCCTGGGAAAGGATAAAAAATGAAAGATCTTAATCCATGTCTTTCATTCCAAATTACATATGGAAAAAACCCAAATCCCTTTGTTTTTTTCATGAATATCATCTACCTAGCTGCTTATGTTGCCTTCCAGCAATGTCTTTGTTGCTAACTGTCTGAAACACCACCTGCATCTAACTCTGTTCAAATGTCTTTCTAAATGTGACAAGAAAATTCATGTATTTAAGAAGACAATTAATAGAAAATTTAAGCCAAGCTTTTCTGTTAGGAGATAGAGAAGATAAAATTCCAGGATACTGTTATACACAGTTAGCTATCCTTTTTACTTTTATAATTAAAATATTAGTAGATGCTAATAAGAAGGATTTGAAATTGAGATCATGTAACTTGTTTCAGTGTCAAAAAAAGCTAATGTGAAAATACTTTTTAGAAGACTTTATTTTTCAAATTGTATTGGGCACACACTGAATAGAATGTAAACCACTTTAAAAAAATAATAACAAATGCCTTTGGAAGTTACTAATTAAATTTGAAAATCTATGGTTAGGTTGTTAAATTTTTTTCTGTTCATGTCTGTTGAGATTTTCATGCAGAAATTAAAACTTTTACAATCCAATATATTATTAAAGTGACAGATTATGCACTTTTCCCCAGAGGATTGTAACTGAAAAGACAACAATCTAAATTAGCATATAGACCCAACTAAGGGAATGCAAAAAAACAAATATAACCTATAAATCAAACCTGAAACACAAAACATTCAGCAAATGTCTAGTGCACCTTGACTCTGTGTGAGTACAGGAGTGTGGTCAGGGCACAGCTGTATTTATACTGTCCTTGAGCAGCTGGTGTTGCTGAGAAGGTGCCAAATTAGAGCAGCCAAAGGCAAGCAGGATCCTGGAGGGGCACACAGAAAGAGCTGAACCAGCAGCTGGGATCAATCAGGGAAACCCACACTTCTGCTTGGAGCCAGCATCTTTAATTAAAACCCTTGTACTGCTCTAATAACTTTGCATGTTGGGAACACTTTCATTGATTTCAGTTACTTCCCATTTGTGCCTTCATGGATTGATATTGTCTTGACACAATTAAAGATGAGGAGAAAATATAAAAGAGACTGATAATTTGCACATGTACATGAGGTGGTCATTTCATCACAGTTTGTTGCTATGAAATACTGGTGAAGTTGACAGTCTCACCCAGAAATCCATCTCAATGCACAGCACATTTTTCAGGACTTTGGTGTTTGTCCTTTGGCCCTGGCCCTGACTGTGACAGTTCTGTGTAGTTGAACCTTCCAAATTCTTGGGATCACACACAGGATCTGTAGGAATCCAGGCAAGTAGTTGTGCTGACCCTCAAAAGGTCTGCTTTGAAGGTTGGGGTCTCAGCTGGGATTAGTGAGGCTCTCCTAACTATTGTGTTAGGTGAAGATAGGAGTACCAGCCACCTGAAATGCCACATAGTTTGACATTTTGGCCAATATTTATAATTCAGATAGGTCTTGAGTTACAGCTATAAAATCAGTTTGTTGGATTTGGGGGAAAAAAAGCTTATTATCTTTTTAAACCAGTGCAGCTAGGTGTATTTTCTGTGTATTTCCCTGAGAATGATTGCAGGAAGCTGAACTGGTGAGTGGTGTTTATTGCCATCTGAGCAATCAGATTGTTTCAGACCTTCAGAAAATACACAGAATTGCCTTGTGTTTGTTTTGGCTTGGGGAAAGACCTTAAGTCCTTAAGATCCTGAGCCTGCTAAGCTCATTAATGTCTTGTGTGTGGTGCCACTGAAGACCCCAGACAGGTTCTCCACAGACCTGGGCCTTCAGTAGCAGCTGTAATGCAAGTGTGGCATCCAGGAGATAGATGTGGTATCTTCTGGCCTCTTCCTAGAACAACACACTGGCATTTCTGTTGGCATTGTTTGTTTTCCCTGAAAAATAAACAACTGGGGAAGAACAGCAACAAACCTTTGCTGTAATCATTCATTTTGCTTCAGGAAAACCCACAGTGTTCCCTATCCTGAGCAGCGTGGTAGAGACCCTCCTTGAGCAGATGTCTAACCAGAAGCAAAATATGCTTTTTGAAGGCATCCAGTTCAAATATTGTGCTGAAGAGAGTAAAGAGAGGGCTGTGTTCCCCCAGATCAGCCCTGGTGTGAATGGCCCATCCCAAGATCAACCCCAAAACCTTGGTGTTATCAGCACCATGCTCCAGCCAACTGAGCTGTTCCTTCACAAGGAACCAGTGGCTCCATGGACAGGACACCCAACAGCAGCTGGTTCTGGGGTAAATAAATCAGAGGTGAATTTGGCGGCTCCCACTGATTACCCACACAGAGAGGCTTCACACCAAAGCTTCCTGGAGTTTAAGCAAAATGTCCAATAGCTGTGGGGCACAGCAAGGAATGCATTTATCAGTGGGCTCCATGCATGGCCTTGAGGCACAGGCACAAGGCAGAATTGGCTGTGGCCATGTCAAAACACAAAGTGCCGTGGTGAAGGTGTAGCAGAGCCTTTGGGTGGTGGCCCTTGGCTCCAGGAGCAGCTGCTCCCCTGGGCAGTGGCACAGGTGACCACAGAGGGTTTGGGTTTTGGGGTGAACTGAAAGGCCTCTGTGCCCTCCAGTGGGAATTGGGGCCCTCCCTCAGGTCAGGGTAAGGCTGGGCTTTGCCTCTCTGCGAGACACACAGTGCCCAGTCCAGGGCAAATCCTGAGCTGGTGGAAAACAAGGCACACTCGCAGATTAGGGAAGAAATTGGTTCATTTTCATGAGCCAAGACTGTCACACAGTGTGCTGGTGGCACACAGCCACAGGTGCCATTGTTTCACATCTGTCTTAATGTTTATCAATACTGTCACTTAAATAAACAAATCTTTTTAATGTGCTTCTCTGGCAGTGTTGACAGTAAGTGCCTTCACAGAATTTCCCAAATTCCTCAAATTAGATTGCAAAACCACAAAAGCCTTTTCTTTCTCTCTGGGGGTTTTCCCCTGGTATCAGCAAGATGAAAATGCTCTAAAAGTGCATTGTTTTATTCTGTAGATTACAAACAATCACTTCTCTTTAGTTATTTACATTTTTATGTCCTAAATAAATACTGTATGTAGCAAGAACTTTCAGCATTACCTTAAGTATTTCTGGCAAGTAGTGAAGGGATTTCGGATCAGAATGTACTTATAAAGGTGTTATTTATACATTAAAATAGCAGAATCAAGCAGAAAGTTGTATGAAATTTTTTTTTCTCTTGCTTTCTGAAAAGTGTTTTTCATTGAGAAGTAATTAAATGCTTTTTAAAAAATAGGTGTTGAAGGTTAATTGCAGAAGTGTATCATCCCAGCTTTTATCAAAAGACAGCTGACAGCCCAGTAGGCAGTGGTGACTGGTTTAGTTTGGATAATATTAATTTCTTTTTCCATAAAGTAAAGGTTACAGCTGAGTGAGGGAGGGGAGGTGGATGGGCCACTGGGTGACCATTCTTTGCACAAGGTTAAGCCCCCAGTGGTGTGGAACAATCCAGCTGGTAGATCTCCTTGCTCCATTCTGTGAATGAAGACGGGATTGTGTTAGTTAGAAATAGCAAGTGGTGTTTCCAAACCTGCTCCAAGGCTGCAGTCTGTTCTGTTCCCATTTGCCAAAGGGATTGCCACCAAGGGCAGCCTTTGGCTGTGACATTGGTAGTCTCACTCTGAATTTTACTCATTTACTCTCTGTTGCTCTTCTTGATGGGAAAACTCTGGGCTCTTCTGGTGGGCTCTTCTGTTATTTCGGGGGGGCATGGGAGAGGGTGTCATATCCTGTTAAAAAAAACTAATCATTTGAAAGTAACATTCCCCATGAATTTCCAAGGGTAAGAGGGCACACTAAAAATTCCTTCTCCACAGTCCTTGAGCAACATGTGTGCTCCTAAAGGAGGGGATTGTAAAGGCATTCTGGATACAGGTGTCCTGAAGATGTTCTGGATACAGATGTGCAGATGTTCTAGAATACAAGCGTCCTGTAGATATTCTGTGTCAAGGGAAATATATGTTGGAAAGATTGATAAAGTTCTGGAATGGTCTGCCCAAGGGGGTGGTGGAGTCACCATCCCTGGATGTGTTTAAGAGAAGACTGGATGTGGCACTTGGTGCCATGGTTTAGTTGAGATGTTGGAGCTGGGTTGGACTTGATGACCTTTAAGGTCTCCTCAAACCCAGTTATTCTGTGAGTTCTGGAATACTAGTGTACTGTAGGTGTTCTGGATGCAGGTGTCCTGCAGATGTTCTGGATCCAAGAGCCTGCAGGCGTTCTGGGTGCAGGTGTCCTGCAGATGTTCTGGGTCCAGGTGTCCTGCAGATGTTCGGGATCCAAGCGTCCTGCAGGCATTCTGGATGCAGATGTCTGCTGATGTTATGGGTCCAAGTTTTGTGCAGACATTCTGGACATAGGTATCCTGCAGATGTTCTTGATCCAGGTGTCCTGCAGATGTTCTGGGTCCAAGTGCCTGCGGGCGTTCCGGATCCGAGCACCAGCACCCCTGAGGCGTTTCCCTCCCTTCCTGGGTGTTTTTGTCAGGGAGCAGTCAGAAAGGCCCTGTGTGTGACCCTGTCCCTTTTCGTGCCCCACAGTGACCAAGACCGTGTGTGCAGAGCAGTGTGACGGGCGCTGCTACGGGCCCTACGTCAGCGACTGCTGCCACCGCGAGTGCGCCGGCGGCTGCTACGGACCCAAGGACACCGACTGCTTTGTAAGTGCCATCTGCCTTCTTCTTCTTACTCTTCTTTCTTGTTCTTCCTGCCAGTCACTCTGCAGAGTCTTAATGCTTTAATCCATGAAATTCACAGTTTCACCCTTCGAATGTACTGCATGCACACTCGCAGATTCAGGATGCAAATTTTAGCTTTTAGGATTTTTCATATTCTATTAACATCATTTATCTACTTAATATTGCTCATTAACAGATCTATGAGATTTGTAAATACAGATTGGGAACTGTTAATATGCTTATCTCTGTGATTTTTATCTTTTTCTTTTCCAAAATTAGCTTTTAGAGGTGACGGCAGATTTTTAAAAGTATTTGCCATTATATTTGAACATGGTTTTTATTAATGCTCTGTGTGCTTTTCATATCAAAGGCAAGAATACTATTTAGATTCTCTGTGCAAGGTGTTCCTTGTTTCTGCCAGATTTAATTTAAATTCGGGTTTTTTTACTGGACATGCTTCTTTGTGGAGATGGAAGGAAAGTGGTTCCCAAAACGCTCTCCCTCAAATGCATATTACTATATGTGTGCTTCAGATGGAAAGAAGAAATGGCTTTTTCTTTAAAGAAATATAATCTGAATATCCAGGCCTTTAGAAAATCTGTCTTGTTTCTAATCCATTATTTCTAAGTGTTTTAGCAGCCTTAGAACCCAAAACTGATCTCAAAAAATGTGTAGCTCCTCACACTGGTTTGATGAGACAAGTTTTACTAATGGTTTCAGGGGAAGCAAACCTAGGTCTAAAAGTAGACTCAGAATCTGCACAGACAGGTGAGTTTTCAAAGCTACCCATGTGCTCAGAGACAAATACCTGTGAAGCTGACTGCCAGGTGGGGTTGGGAGGAAGGTATGGAAAATTGCATATGTTTTGAAACTGTGGGCAAGTGATTGATAATGAACTGGCAAAAATAAATCTTATTCTGGCTGGCCCTAACTGCTTGACAGTGATAGGTTTAGTGTTTCAAAACCACACTCTAAATGCTGTTCTTTGGCTGCTGATGAAATGTTGTGGTGGCCTGACAACCGCCAAGAGAATTTACCAAAGCTGTTCCCTGTGGCTTTTCACAAGTAGATGCTCAGCACATATGGGATGGGTGATCCAACAGTGCCGGGAAGTTCTCTGTTGGCTTTGAACTAGAGAGACAGGAAAATACCAGTCTTGCTTGTGTCATGTACAATATAAATAGGTAAAGGGAAGAGGAAAAATGCAGTCATTGGGTCCAAATGAGTATTGAGGAACATCCTCAGAGCTGATGTGTTGATGCTTTCAAAAGTTAAGGACTGTTACTAGTAAATACAACTTTACAAAAGGAAAGCCTTGTAAAATAATGGCTCAGGCCTGTTATTTTGCTAAGTAGAAAAGGACTGTGGGAGAGAGACTCAGCTGAATTAGAAGTAGAAAAACAATTTATTTAACCGTCATGTGTTCACATCATGGTGTGTGGTGGTTGGCTGGATTATGTTATGATTTGAAGCTATGTAGCTGATAAAGGCCTAACTGCTTAAAAAGGCCTGGTTTTTGCATTAAGGAGCTCTCCTTTGCACCTGCCTTGGGTCTCTGCATCACTCTGGACCCTCACCCTCCAAGTTCAAGTTATTGGCAGCACAAGTTGTGTACTGCTGCAGCCTGAAAGTTAGACTGTCTGAATTGTGGCAGCTGTAGAAATACACATGCTAAAATCAACTGGTTTGTTTTTTCTGGTACAGCACAGAGGCATCCAGGGTTTATTCTCATTCCCTTCTGGCCCCAGAGCAATGTAAAAGAAATTCAGCAGGGGTCTGGCAATTTTCAGGCCTAGTCATTACTTGCTTAGACACAGTGGGTGAAGAGTGTAACCCTTTAGGCTGTAGACAACTGTGCTTAGCTTTCAGCTGAGACACATAACTTTGTTTTTTCCCTGTGTATTTCCTGTGCTTTTATTCACAAATTAGCAGCATTTAGCACAAAGTGCTAGAAATTTGCATATATTATCAAAGCAACTACAAATGTATATAAAACATTTCAGTCATAAATTAAAAGTTTCCAGATCTTCTAGATAAATTTTTCCTGAAAATTGCCATGTCTCCAAGGAGTATTGGTGTGCTTTATGCATTTGCTAAACTGTTATCAGAGAATTGTCATGTACATGATGGAGTACCTTTGAAGTCAACATGTAAGAAATGGGTTGAGGAAACAAACTAAATTAGTATTTATTAATAAGCAAAAGTAGAGCTTATGAAGCATTACAAATCCTTTAGAGCATTATGGCATCTTGCAGCAGCATCCTGTTCTAAATATGGTTTTAATATCTGTAGATAAAATTCATCCATCCTCCTCCATCTGCTGCCATGCACTCATTTGCATATTTAGTTCTAAAAGCAAGACAGTAATCATCATCTGACATAAATGCAAGCAAACATGCTAAAGCAAAGTTTTACTGGTGTTTTTATCTCAGATTCAAACTGGGCCTAGAACTTGAAATGCACAGGAGAGCCTGGCTGATTGCCTGGTGGAACCAGAAAAGTGACATAACCCAATTCCTTGGCTGGACTTGCCATCCAGTTCTGATTAAAGTGTTTGTCTTTGTGAGGGTTAAAAAAAAATCTGTTTCCATGACAAAACTGGCAGGTGTTATATTAGGCATTGTAAATGACCAGGCAAGGCAGGATCAGCAGTTTTGCTTAGCACTTGCTCCATGCAGGACAGTGCTTTAATCACAAATCTCCCTGCTCATTCCTTTCAGCAGCAGATTTTGTCCTTGGATACATTATTAGCCTCCCCTTTCTGAAATCTTCTGCCATGGCAGGTCCCAGGGTCCTGCTGGTCCTTATCCAAATGGAGATAAGGACTGCTAGTAAAATCAGCACAAGGGAGGAATCTTTTTCTCTTTTCTCTCAGTCCCAGCCCAGGAGGCAAGGGGACAGGACATGTACATTATTGTTATACTTGTTGACTCTTTAAAGACACAGAACCATCTATATTTTGACAAAGAAAAATGGAAAAAAAACAGAAGGATTAACTCTTAGACTAACACTTCTAAAGCAGCCTGGATTACAGGTTAGTGAGGAGGCAATGCCCAGTAACAGTGGCTGCTTAAACTGCTAGAGGGATCCAAGCCAGGCTGCAGCTTTCATATTCATACCAATTTTTCATTCAGGATATGCTCTGTGAAAATTACTCCAACAGTTTTCTTATAATCTGTAGTTAAATCTGTAGACATGATGTGTGCTGATAAGGAATGTCAAAATTGGTGGGGCTTTCTATTCCTAATTACCAACCTTGCATGGTCAATTGTTTTCCCTGCATCCCATTACTTTTGTTATCCACACACTCTCCTCTTCATTTGTCAGGGCCCTGTCCTCTGTCAGCTGTGTGTGGCAGAGCCTGAATGCTAAGTGGGACAAAGTCCTATTTTCCTCTCTCAGCGTGTGAAGCAACTGACCTTGTTAAACTTGCCACTTAGGGAAATGGCCCCCTCCTGTGCTGGCTTAAAAGAAGTTCTTATCCCTCTTGCCTCCTAATTGGGAATTACAGTTTTCAGCTGGATGATGTACTCACACTGTAAGAAATATAAAGGGTTGGACCTCTGAAAAAGTCATTAGCATTTGCTTAGAGGATGATAAATAGCTGCTCGCTCTTGGCAGTTTTAGAATGTCCTATCAAGTTGAGAATTGGTTGATTGTGAGTGGTTATGAAACAAATTACAGCGTTGTTTTGGTTTTGTAGGAAGTGTTGTAACAGGCAACTGTTGCTAATTAAAGGGGCTCAACCAAACTCCCTAATTAAAAAAGTCACATATTTGCCAAGATCCTAGCAAAAAATCCAAGTCGCCAAAATGATACAGTTTTGGATTCTAAGTATGCTAAAACTCTTAGAAATAATGGATTAGAAGCAAGACAGATTTTCTAAAGGCCTGGACATTCCTCACTGTCACAGCAAGTCTGAACAAACAAAGCCATCTTTTATACCAAAAAACCACCAAAACCCTAAAGCACTTATATGATTTAATTCCTTTTTTTTTTCTCCCTTGTTTTGCAGGCCTGTATGAATTTCAATGACAGTGGTGCTTGTGTCACCCAGTGCCCCCAGACCTTTGTGTACAACCCCACCACCTTCCAGCTGGAGCACAATCACAATGCCAAGTACACCTACGGGGCTTTCTGCGTCAAGAAGTGCCCACGTGAGTGCTCTGTAACCTGCCCTCTGCTCTGCCTTCTCTCAGGGGGAGCTGCACTTGCATTTCAGGAGGCTTAAAAACAGGGAGACAATGAGAGCTGAGTGCAGAGCACCATCTCTGCAATCACTCCACACGTGCTTGTAGCCTGTAATAACGCAGGTGATAGCTAAATACATCATCTTTAGCTGTGATGCTAACAGTTCCCAAGGATCCTGGAGTGATTTTTGTAAAGAAAGGTGGTTTCTCTTTTCCTGGTCAACTGCTAGTTCCATTCATGCTTTAGATCAGTATTTGCAAATTCCAAAATAGTGTAAATAAGTAGTTAAAATAGTGGGATTGTAAAGGGTATGAATTTTTTTTTCAGTCCACCACCAGCACCTGGTACCAAATGGTTCCATGATATTGATGCCCCTAACTTGGACTAATGATGGTTTGACAGAAAGTTACCCTGAGCAGTTCTGTCCCAATGAAGAATAAACTTGTCATACTGACAGGAATGCAGTCTTAAAACTCCAGAGTTAAATTAGAGGGGAAGAGAGAGTTCAAAAAAAGAAGAATCTCATGCATGTAAAACCCACATGCTTCTGAGATACCAGCCAGATGATGACAAGGAACAGAAAAAATTATAGGGCCATCACTTACACAGTCTTTGGATCTGCTGGTTTAATTGGAAAGAGTAATAGAGAAGATAGTATTCTTGCTCTCCCTTTCATTCCATAAAGGTTTACAGTTGTGCATTAATTATTCTGTCCATAAGTTATGTGTAAGAAGGATGGGTGATCTATATTAAATGTAGCCATAATTCAACCCAGCCCAAATTCCCAATTTTGAATCTCTGTGGAGGACTGACAGCAGCCAGGGGCTGTGACTACCAGGGTCTGGTTCTGCCTCCAATAGTGGTGGGTTTGCTGAAGCAAGATTGGTTTGTTAAGAACCGCATATCATGCACTATAAGGGTTATAATTCTTTGCCCAAATACTTCATTGAACATTTACTTTTTTTTCTTTTTCCTTTCTTATCGGCGTTAATCATTTAGTGAAATAGGATCAGTCTATTTTCCCTTTGGCTTTTGTTTTACAGGGAAAAAATTGAAACACTTGTCATTGTCCTGTCGACTGTTTTATCCTAGATGTCTATTGTGTGCATTAAAAAGACAGGACAGACAATCTTGCTTTATTTCTCACCAATTACTGTAACTTTTTTCCCCCCTACAAATAACAATAAATCTAAATGGGAGGACAAAGAGGGACGACGACGCCTGACAAAAATGAATTTTTATAAGTCTCTGATAACGTGCCTCTTTTGCCTATACACTTCTGAAAACACAGAACTTCAAATGTTAATGTCACTGGGAAAGTACTGAGGTAACAATAGTTCCAAAACACACCCAGCTTTTATTCACTTGCTGCCAACATCTCCTTTTCCTTTCCAGACAACTTTGTGGTAGATTCCAGCTCCTGTGTCCGGGCATGTCCAAGCTCCAAGATGGAGGTTGAAGAAAATGGCATTAAGATGTGCAAGCCCTGCACTGACATTTGCCCTAAAGGTAGGCAGTGGTTCAGTATAAATTTACTTGGAAGTAGTCTACACAGAGTGTTATTTTGGCATGACTTGCCCTTCATGTGTGTTGTAGAATATGAATAGCTTTTGAATACCCACAAAAGTTTGAGCTATGTAGATTGTGTGTCAATAAAATAGACATAAAATAGAGTGAAAATTTATTAAGTTGTAATGGCAGTATAACCAAACCAATTGTTTTTTATTAGACACAAATGAAGGGGTTTTCTCTGTTGGTTTTAGAGAAATCTGCAAGAATTCTTCATTGTGTTATTTTAATGACAAGTATTTCCTGGAAGTGTTTTAGCGTTGTCCTTTTGTCATTCCAAAGGGGGCCATAAAAAAACCCCTGACTTCAATGTCTGGGATGTCTCAATTTGTCAATACAGCATTAGGTTTCCATTTCCTTGCTCTATCTCTGCTTTCCCAGAACCTTTTACCCCCTTTCTCAGTGTCTCAAACACAGATCAGTGATGGTTCTGTTGAAATCTGTAGGTTACTTTGCTGCTCTAGACTCCAGACTTTCTGCTCCCTGCTTGGAGCTCTATGCAGCAAAGCACCAGAGGTTTTCCTAAATGGCCCTATGCCACTTTTCAGTCCTAATGGAAGCCACATCTGGCTTAATTGTGGTAAATAATTTTTGTTGTTGAATAGATAGTTTTATACATGAAAACACAGGTATGGAGTTTCCTAATTTCTCAGGAAGAAAGCTATCACATGTTTGTATAAGCTTCTGGTGCTAGCTGCCATTAGAGAAGACCAGTGAGGAAGAGATAATACATCATTATATGGTTGAAGTCACGAGGGATTTGTTCCTGGGTGCATCCTGTGTCCCAGAAATGCAGTAAATTACACAGACAGGCTGCACAGAGAAGTTTCCTCACTGGTTTCCAGTTTCTCCATGTACCAGTAACTTGCTGATTGAGCTGATAAATAACAAGTTATTTATACAACATTTAAAGAGCCTTTTGAAATGGATGGTGAAGTTCACAAATCCACCAGAGAAGGGGACCTCTGTGATGCCTTGTGAAGGCTGACCTAGAACAGAGACTAGACAGAGTTAAAGAATAAAGCAGGGATTTATTAGGAGGCCTCAATGGATGCACCTTGGGCAGCACAAGAGCCCAGCCAGGGCTACACCCAAGATGGACCAAAATGGTCACAAAATGGGCACTGGTCATGGGGGTCTCTCACTTTTATAAGTTCTGGTCCATTTGCAGATTGGAGTTAATTGTCCGGTTACAGCTTTAGCTTGTGAAATCCCATCCTTCTTGTTTTTCTCTCTTCAGCCCACATTGTTTTTGCTCTTGGGCCTGAGATTTGGATCATTTGTCCTTGGTCCCCAGCTAGAGAATGAGTTATTTTATCTCCCCACTCTGTGAAGAGAGCTTCCCAGCCCCTCAAGTGTCAGAACTATACACTAAAGCAGCAGAGAATCTGAAAAATATAAAAGCTAAAACCCGAGGCTGCATTTCCCCCAGCAATGTTAGGCCCCTCAGTTTCTGCAGTGCCCAGAAAATGCACCAAGAAATGGCAAGGCTGGGCTGAGTGGGATTTTTTGTGCTGGGATTTGTGTGGCTGATACCTTTAGATCCCTTGTGAAATACTTTAACCTGTGTGCCAGGGTGCTGTTTGGTTTAAATTGAGATGTGCTTCTTTGGGAATATGGGTCAGGGATGCTGTTTGAGCCCCTCTCTGCTGAATGAGATGAAGAGTGGTGTCTGTAAGGCCAACATGTTCTGATTCAGTAATTGTTTTCCCCAGTTCTTAACACAAGATCTTTGTTTTGGCAGCATGTGATGGCATTGGGACAGGGAGTTTGGTGTCAGCTCAGACAGTGGATTCCAGCAACATTGACAAGTTTGTAAACTGCACCAAGATCAATGGCAACCTTATCTTCCTTGTCACTGGGATTCATGGGTAAGTGACAAAATGCTAAGATGTTATGTCATGGTGCCAGCTGAAACCAATTGCATCCTCCCCTTAATTATGGCTGCAGGCTTCTTTTATGCAATAGCAGATCCAGGATAAATGAGTTTTCTGCTTTCCATTGTGAAAAAAAGCATTGCCTTGATTCTTAAGATTCAACCTCTGGGAAAAGAAAGGATGGATTAATTGTTTGCACTAAAAAGAGAAAAGACAACTGTGATTCTCTGGTTACTTTATGAAATCCTCAATGCTGGCTTACTATAAAGGCTGATCAGAGAACAGAAGGGAGAAAAGGAAGTTAGCTTCCATGATTTTGTTGAAATTTTGTATGAAAATAATATGCAGAGAGGCAGCCTCTCTTAGCATAACTTGTCATAGTCAGTACACACACATGCACAAAAGCTGCCCTCTTGTCAAAGAGTTTTGAAGAATCTATCCAAGTTTCAGAATTCACTGGTGTATAAATCCAGTATTTTGGTTTAAATTTTGCTCATAGTAATAGAACCAGAAAAACCTCAAAGTATCACATGGCTCTGCTCTGGCCAAATGACCCACTGAGAGGCTGGATGGAAATCTCACAGGACAGGAAAAAAATCAAGTAAATACACGGCAAGCAGCTAGAGCCCATGAGCAATTTTGCGTGGATTAATCCAGTGCATTACATGAAATTTAATTTCAAATATAAGAACTGCTTTTGCAGGAAAAATTATATTAGCTCATTTAAAAATCTGTCTTAATTAAAAGAACCAAACCCAACCTTGAATAAAATTTTACTAGTCTGAAAAAATCTAAATTTGGACTATAAGCAGAAAGTTAAAATATTCTGTTCTGTTTTACAGAGGAGTAGGACATTTAATGTTGAAAGTGTGTAGCACTTTGTGTCTCATTCTTGATGAAAAAAACTCACTTCAGCAAGCCTAAAGTATGAGGGCATTGAGTTCTGCAACCCTAAATTTTTCTACAGCATGGATTAGATTAGTAGAGGTTAAAAGAAGAGAAGATTTGAGAATAAATGAAAAAAATCTAGATTTCTGGAACAGCTTTTTTATTTAAAGTTTCAATGACATTTTACAAACCAGCAATATGAAAGGGAAATTTAAAAAATGACACTGACTACACAAGTAGTTTGTTGTTTCTCTATACTGTTCATTTATAAAACAATTTTACTTATTTCCTCTCCAACTTTTGTCACAAATTCATTTATTCACAGTGAACTGCAAATTTTAGAGTATGAATTTTTAGTGGTTTAGATTGTAGGGACGTAAAATCTGGTTCTCTGTGGAATTGAAAGACTTTAGGTCATGGCAGAGAATAATTTCAATGAAAAATGCAGAATATATTTTTGTTGTTGTTGTTTCCATTGGAAATTGTGCTGTTGCAATTGATCCTGTCCTATATTTTGATCCTGTGGTTCTGTAGCCTAGTTCTTTCCTGAGCACATGAACTTCAATTCTTTGTGAATTTGTTATAATTTATGTAAACATATATATGTAATTATGAATGTTTTCTGCACATCTATTTAACGTCATTAAGATATACACTATTCTACAGTTTTATATGTTGATAGAACAGCAGACATTTGGCTGTTTAAGGGGTTTAGTTGTATATCTGCATCTCTAAAGCTATTTTATCTTCAGAATTTAGAGGTGAAATTCAGCTGCCTCATGTTTATTGCAGGCAAGGGTTTTTCCTTTTTTGATGGTAATGCAATTTGAAAGCCAAGTGCTGTGTTTCTGTAAGGTAGTAAAAACTTGTTATTTAGTTTTGTGAGAGCCCCACATTGCTAAAATGTGTCTGATGCCTCTGTGGCCCACTGGGCTTTTTTGTTAACTTTCTAGAACTCCTTTTGTTGCTGCTCAGGGTGGTTAGAGGTGACCCCACCAGTGTGTCACCTCACACATTTGTGACTCCTGTCCCCAGAGACAGCCAGGTGGATCCACCTGCACATTTCTGTTCCAAGAATCACATATCCTGGAAAGCAGAAGGAGAAGAGGAGGAAATGTGTGCTCCATATTTATTGGGGATGTTTCCTCCTCTCAGAAAACACACAAAAATACCATAACATACCAGTGCAGAAGAATTTTGGGATTTTTTAAGCTTCTAGACAACTTTTAAATTGGGGAGGAAAGCAAAATGATGACACTCTCAAAATCAAGGTCATCTTCATCTTTTTACAGTATGGCATATCTAAGTTCAAAATTTTAATTTTTGGAGGTTATTTCATTTCTTACTGAAACTTGCTTGGCAAGGATCCATACTTTTAGAGATTCCTTGTTCCACACCTTCTAAAAAGTGTGCTCTTTAAATGCCATGTGTCAGGAACTGCTGGCATGCTCTTAACTTAATTTTGCTTATAGCTTGTCCCTCCTTTTAGGAGCAGCTTTGTTAGCCCTGGTACACATTCCTGGAAAAAAACACTGAAAATTCATCTTTCCTTTAGGAAGGTCACTCAGGGTTGTTTATAATTCCTTAATTTTCCATAGCATAAATATTTGCTAAAACATGAATGGATTAAATTCTATGTTTTCCTTCAAGATGATGTGGGAGAAGTTAGACACAGATCTGCAGGAACAACAGGCTGAAGAAGCTTGGTACTTCTCATAAATGCAAAGTGTTGAGCACCTATAATGCTGTTTCCTGCATGGTGTGGCTGTGAGAACCTGATCTTTTCTTATTTAGAGTGTCACACTGTGTGATTTTAATCTTTCAGAGACCCCTATCACACGATCGCTGCCATCAATCCAGAGAAATTAAATATCTTCCAAACAGTGAGAGAGATAACAGGTAACACACTTCTGATCTCCTATAATCTGCATTAATTAATGAACTCATTCTCACTTTGCATTTATAGTTGTCATGTGTTGGGTTTTCTGAAGAGCACAAGGTACTTGTTTTCATTAAGCTCACCATGCTGTCATTTTAATGAAAATTTAATACAGAAAACTTCAGTATCAGTTGATTTTCACAAGTGTGCTGTCCTTTGAAAACAACATGCCCTTTATGGCAGATGCTAAGTGGCCAAAGGATCTTGGTCCCATGTTAGCAAAGTAGAACAAGTGTTGCAAGGGAGGGAAATGTGAGGAAAATGGTGCTGAAATGTGGGAAACCATTTTCTTCACCTGAAAGCATTTGAAAGTTCTAGTGTGCTTTTACAGCTCCTTCCCTTGGTCTAACAGAGGATGCTGCTGCAAGTTAACTTTTGTAATTTAAGATGTGTAAGGTGGTGGTGGTGTGTCCCATTTTCTGTGACTTTTCAGTGGGGTCACAGAACTGGGTACTCAGTACTTTGTGTTCTTGTTTCACCATGAGGAGGACACAGCGGGAGATACTACAGCTCTGAGTTCTCATTTGATTTCTGATTATATAGAGGTAGGGAAATGCAAAAAACCTGTTCTATTTCATGCACAAAAAACCCCACCAAAATACCTTTGGGCAGCACAGCTTGATAGTAGCTGTGAGGAGCTCAGCATGCTTTACCTCTCAAAAGTTGTGAATTTCAGCAAACCTGGGATTAAAAATGAAAGTAAACTCTTAATCTGTTCCTAATTAATATCAAAGATAATCTGGCACCTGGGTGAATATTATTTGCCATTCCTAAACACAATAATTGACAGTCTTAGCCATGCTGCTGAAGTGGAATTACCCCTGTTCTTAACTCTGCCTCAGCACTGGGCTGAAATGCAGTACAAGAAGTCATGGGGAGCTGCCCTCTCTGGAGATCTGTGCAGCACAACACATCCTGAGGAATTTCCAAGTCCTCACCTTGGAAATTAGGACAAGTTCTCTTTTTTTGGAGGAGATGGTGGTGAGCAGCCTGAAACTCTCCTTATTTATTTCTTTTCCTCAAGCTGGCACTGTCTTTCCTTTCTGGGCTAAGCCTGTCCTAACTCTCACATGGCTGAAATAATTTGTGTTCACATGTTTGCTTTTTCCTCCTTCAGGGTATTTGAACATCCAGTCTTGGCCTGAGAATATGACAGACTTCAGGGTGTTTTCTAACTTGGTTACCATTGGTGGGAGAGCTCTCTATAGGTAAGGTACTTCTCTGTAGGTGGAATAATTTTTATTAGCTTTCTGTGGTTCTTTATTCAGTAGCAGAGAATGCAACATCCTTTGGGAAGGACATGGTAATTTGATATTTTTTTTTTCCTCTGTGACCAAGGTGTTCATTATCAGTATCTTTGCTAATCAGTTGTTTATAATGGATAATACCTTCTAAACATAATTATTTCAAAAACCAGTCTTGGTTCATGGCTATAGCTATTATCTCATTGACTGGAACTTAGATTTATGGTTTAAAATACCTTGTGAAGAAACATAGTTTAAAAGGAATGAATAGTAGAACTTAGCCTCATTATTAGGAATTAATATGGTTGTGATTAGGCATGCAGGCTCATATAAAGTGGTTTTAAGAAGAGGTAAAAGGTGGAAGAATATTGAAATCACTGAGGCACCTTGCAGGTGTGGTGTTCATGAGCTCTGTAGTGCCATTTTTACCAGAGATGTTTCTGTGTGGAAACATGGATGGAGAAATTGGTTTGAAGAGAAGAAATGCTGGGGGAAGCACAAGGAGGTACCTGAGTAATTTATACAGCAACCCCTGGATCCCCACTTTGGAGAAGGAGTAAATCAGACATGGAATTCTGCTGGCATCTTAAACAGCAACCTGAGCAGAATATGAACAGCAGTGAAACCTTGAGGTTGAATTACAGCCCTGCATTCTGTTCCAAGGCAGCAATTTTTATTTGGAACAGCTGGAAAACAATTATCATCATTAAAATACAATAACTTAAAGGATGCCCAGAAACTGGATATTGTCTTCACTAATCTTCAGTCATAAAATATGTGCAGTCATTTTCATGTTGTGCAGACAATCATTTACTGTTCCTTTGATGAAGAAAGGCGATAACCACATCTTACAACCAAAGAAAAATGAAATGTAGAGAGTGAGCTAGAAAAAAAAAATCCATGAAAATAACAATTTTTTCCTGTAGTACTTGAAATGGCATTAATTTGATGCCTGACAGAAGATGTTTTAATATATTTTCATTAGCATAGGGTGGTTTAGTAATAATGTGGTGTATTAATAGTATTAATGCTGTTCGAAGTATTAATGGTGTTGAAAGAGAAACCTGAATTATATTCAGTTTTCCTATCAGCACATTATCTCAAAAAAATCTGTTAATGGGTGAAATGAAACTGGTTGAGGAGTTCTGCTGGCTTGCTTGGCCTAGTGCTATGAGCATCACAGCTTGTGGTACCTCACTCCTGACAGGACTAATCATTTCCTACCCAATAGAACTGGGTAGGAAACTCATAAAATATTTGTAGTACCCCAAAATAAAATTTTTCTGAACAATTCTGTTTTCCCAGAAAGATCATCTTGATACTTGGAGCTAATTCCAGTTGGCAATTCCCTACCAGATATAATAAGCTGTGCCTTCTGAAGTTAATTCTTATTCTCTCTCACTTTTGTTCTCATCCCAGTGGCCTCTCCTTGCTCATCCTAAAGCAACAAGGCATCACTTCCCTGCAGTTCCAGTCCTTGAAGCAAATCAGTGCTGGTAACATCTACATCACAGACAACAGCAATTTGTGCTACTACCACACTGTCAACTGGACCAGCCTGTTCAGCACCCCCAGCCAAAAGACAGTGATCCACAGGAACAAAAAGGCAGAGAACTGCAGTAAGTACCTGCTGCTCACTGCCACCAGCTCACCTGGGGGCTTCTGCAGCTCCATGGGCAGCAGGGGAGCTGTGCTCACTCACAGCATCCAGAGATTTGGCCCAGTTGGAGCAGGAAAATGAAAATTTTTAAGGTGTGGACAAAGGAAAGGGAGCAGAGAGAATTCACTGCTTCCTTAATATGATGGTAACATTCCAGTTTCACAAATATGAATTCCAAAGGCTGTCAATGGAGTGTTCATGACTTTACAGCCCTTTCCTTATGGAGTATTGTGGTGGTGTTTGCAAGGGTCCCAGAATGAGAGAAGGCATGAGAATCTTGACTCCAGAAGGCTGATTTATTATTTTATGAAATATATTTTATTAAAAGAAAATTATATACTAAAACTATACTAAAAGAATAGAAGAAAGGATTTTAGCAGAAAGCTAGAAAGGAAAGGAATGGAAATAAAATCTTGTGACTGCTCACAGCCTCAACACAGGTGGCTGTCATTGGTAATCAAGTAAAAACAGTTTCACATGCTGGGTAAAGGTTCTCCAAATCACATTCCAAAGTATCAAAACATGGAGAAGCTGAAACTTCCCAGCTTCTCAGGAGAAAAGGATTTTTATCCTTTTCTCCTGAGAAGCTGGGAGTTTAGGATTCCCTAATGGAAGGGTTTTTCATAAAATATGTCTGTGACAGAATAGATCTAAAGTGACCCTAAGTGGCCCTATCTTAATCCAGAATGGTGGTTTTGGGACTGGTTTAGGTCACCCAAGTTGTTCTTTTTCATATTTGACTTATCTGATAAAAAATACTACTTCAGGAAAGCTTGCATGCCAGTACCTAGGCTGAGATCATTGCACTGAAAAGCCAAAGAAAGCTCTGTAGCAGATAAAATAACTTGTTTATATAGAAATCAGGCAGAAAATTGCATCAATACAGGCATATTGTAGCAGCAGAGCAGTTCATTTGAAGCATCTGTTAGACTGCTTGCAGGAGAGGAGATTCATTAAATTGCTGTATGTTTAAGTGATATTGCTGATTTTTGTGCTCTGACCATCCAAAAATGTTTGCTTTGGGTTTTTTCAAGCTGTGGTCCTATTTTTGACTTGCACTTTAGTTCTTTCTTTCTGTTGGTTTGAGGGTGGTTTTGTTTGGTATTTTTGAGGGATTTTATTTCTGTTTTTTATCCTCTCCCCTCTCTTTGAAGTGCTGTTCTGCTCTGTTTTGAGAGTGAATAGCTGTGCTCATCACTAGTGTGTAAATGTACCCTCAGTGTTAGGTGAAATACAGCTGGAGCTTTGTCTCTGCTGCTCAGTTCCTTTTCTAAGAGCCACAGGAAGTACAAAGTCTTGTTTAGTTGATGTCCACATGGTTTTGGTTGTGTGGAATTTTAATTATTATTTTATTAGTCTATTTCTTTACATGCAAGTTAAAAAGGTGAAATTTAAGAGTAGGCTGCTTGCTGTGCCTGAGGGTGTAGGGTTTTTCTTCTGCCCATAGAAAGCCAGCTATAAAAATAGAGTATTTATTGGAAAATAGAGGTGCTGCCAAGAAGGATGGCACATCTGCCCAGGGCTGTGGCACTGCTTTTTGCTTTCCCTTGCAGAGTAACAGGATCATGTGGTGAGGAACCACCTAGTTCTGCACTAGTGCTCTCTAGCAACTGTGTTTTGTATGGCATGAAGAAATAATTAACCCTTCTGAGATCTCCCATATGGAATTTTTGGGGTGAAAGAAGGAGGAAGCTTAAGGTTTTGTTGACCACGAAAAAGTCACTAAGGTGACATTCCCAGATCTGAGTAGGTCCTATCTTGCCAGGAGATACATGAACTTGTGAACCTCCTGGAGAGCACAGGTTTCCTCTCCACCAGGTGAAAAACTGCTTACTATGGGAGAAAAATCATGCTCTGATGTTTTCTTACATCAGATTGGCTCTAGCTGTCTGATTATCATGCAGCATTTAATGAAAGAACAGTCAACTTTCCTTCATTCCCAGACATTTAATATAAAAAGAAACTAAGCAGTAATAAGGTGGGACACAGGCCTCATGTCTCACACAGGAATGATTCCTCTTTGCTTCAGGTTTCTGTAACCTCACACATGTTATGAGACAATGGGAAATCACTCAGGTGAATTTTGTAAGGTGCTTTCTCCCATCATAGAGCAGTGTCCCAGTTGTTTCAATATTTTTGAGAACTTTGGGACACAACAACTGAGCACAGCAGTTTGGAACATAATCTTGCATTAGTTGTCAGGGCTCCTTTGTCAAACCCCTCTTTGCCCTTCCCTGGGATCACTCAGTTTGAATCCCTTTGAAGCTGCTTCCAGAGCAATGGAAACTGGGATGTGCTGTCACATCGTCCTCTCACATGCAATGTCTTGTCACTACATTTGCACACAAAGAGAAAATGCAAACTTAATTTCACCTCCAGCTTGGTGAGGATTTGTTATAATAGACATTTACCATTTTCCAGGAAGAAAAATACTCCTAAAGACATTTTAAGAGATTTAGCACTGTGGAAATCTTAAAGAGGAAAGAACATCTCATTCATTTCTTTTTAAACAGTCACAAAGTAAGCTCCAGTACCAAGGGGCTGGTTTTAAAAATGGACTCTGACCTGTGTTCATTAAATGGACAGTGTATAATGAACACAGGCCGGGGGTCAAGTGGCTCCATCTGGGAGGCAGTGCAGTCCTAACAGGAATATTGGTTTTTCTCTCCAATTGGAGGGCAGTGCAATTCCAACAGGAATATTGGTTTTTCTCTCCAACTGGGACATCTGTGTGAGTGAGTATCAGTGTCCAAGCTCATGTGCATAGGGAATGGAGCAAATCACCAAGAAAAGGGTAGGTAGATTTTACCTTTGCTCCATGCTGAAGTGAAAAGTCTGTCTTTTTTTTCCAGCTTTTTTTTTTGTTTGTTTGTTTTATTTTTTTTATGGAACTGTCAGAGGTGAGTCATGTGAAATATGAGTGCACACAAAAGAAATGCAGGCAAAAAAATGTTCTTTTATCCAAAGTTACTTGAGCAATTCCCTCAGCTTTAGTGACACCTGCAGTGTAAGGTGAAACCCTTCTAGGCAAAGGTTGTTAGAGATGTGATTATTATGAATTATATCAATCTAGCCACCAACTAACAACTTGAATAAATGATTACATTCATTATCAGGCATGATGTAAAGCTAATTGAAGTCTGCAGGAGTTTTCCTATTCAGTTTATGGAGCTTTGGATCAGGCCCAAATAATTTTTCTTTTTTTTAGTAGCTAATTTTCTTGTGTTCTATTTAGGTTGGGGAAAAACATTCAACTTTTCTGCTTCTAACCTATGTGGCCCCATTAATAAGGAATGAGTCCTTCTTCTAAAACTCCTGACAAAATCCAGTATCTGTCAAGACCATTATTGTTATTTCTTTACACATAAGGACATGTGATGTGCTGGGGCTGCAGAACATGCTCAGCGCTTGGAATTGCCAAATAATGTGTCAAAAATTGAAATGTTTCTTTAGCCATCCCCACAATTAAAGAAGAGAAAGGCAGAGAAATGAGTTTTTATAAGTTGTCAAAACAACCATTCCCTCCTTGCCAAGATTCTTTTATGAAAACATTTCAGGAGGAAATCATAATTTTTTTGTTTCTATTGCTTTTTTCATAAGACTACAGGCACTGTGTTGGCTACATTTCAATGGGGTAATCATGATTTTCTTTATTAAAAAACTCTCTTTTTATTTGTATACAGTTACTCACTGTATTTTTGGAGCTATCTCATAATAATATCCCTTGTTATTTGGACAGATATTTTACTGAAATTCTCTGTCTGTGCAAATAAATTCTGATTCCAGAGTAGTTTGTAGGGTGAGAAAAATGAAAAGAAAGGATATCACTAGTAGTAAATCAATTTCAAGTCACAAAGAAGGTGAGAAAGCAAACAGGGAACTGCCTTTCTGTGATGAGTGTGGAAAAACAAAATCAGAAGAGCTAGCAATATCCTTAAAATTAAAAATGAGAAATGAAGGGATCTCCAAACCAGGTTAAGTTTTTTTGTTGCATGACAAATATTTAAAATGAGTGATTGATTAGAAAACAAAAACCATATGAAACTATATAAAAAGTTTGTTTAATTGTAACTAGGATAGTTTCTGGCTTTGTGGCTTTTCTTTTTGTTTTATTTACCGGTTCAGTTGCAGCATAGTGGAATTACTGGTATCTGATAGTTATTATAAAAATGTTAATAAGCTTGAAAGGAAGTCAGGACAGTAAAGAGAAGCTGGATTTTGTGTCTCTGCTCCTCCTGACTGTGCTGGTCTGGCTCATTTGGCTGCAGCAGCAGAGCTCAGGGAAGGAGGACAAAGCATCTCTCTGAAATGGCCCCCTGAGTCCCTCTTGCTGTGCTGGAATCTGTGATAATTAATACACTTCAAAGCATACTGAGCACCTGCAATGACTCCTGAATGAAATAACTTTGGATTTGGCTGTTCCTCGTTTGAGATTTGAGGCAAAAGGAAAACCAAAAAGATACTCCCGAGTAGCTTTTGGATGTCGGCATTAAAAATTATATGTGATATAGAAAGGAAAAAACCTGAATCTCCCAGCCTTGATAAAACATGTTCAGGCTTCTCATGCCTGAGGTTATTTGTGGTGTATTGAGTAAGGAAGTATTGAAGAGGGTGGTAGAACTCAAGTAGCACACCTCCTTTTCATTTGTTATTCCTCTTAAGTTGTTCCAGTAGTTTGAAAAGCCAACAAGTGTCTTATTGTTGCCATCTCTGATAGTTCAGGTCCTTGCTGGGTTTAATTTACTCAGTCCAGGGTGTAATCCATTTGTGTAAAACATTGCATTGTGCAAAAATAAATTCAAATTTATTCTGCCCTTTCACATGCCAGGGTTAGGTTGAAAGTGCACCCAGATTTCCATCAGATGCTGGAGAGATAATGTGTTCCTTTTGCTCTTTGCTCATTTTCTCTATCTGTCACATCATCTAGATATTTACACAGGGAATGATTTATGTAAAATAAAAAATACAGACTTACACTGTTTGAAACAAACTTTCCCTCTAACCCTTAGTTCATTGTGTATTTTCATGTAGGCTTGAGGGTTTTAATATAAAGGCTCTAGGGCTCTTCAGGTGCTTTTGCAGTAAATAAATCTAAAATCACAATTTATTTTCCTTTCCTTTCTTTCAGTTATTTCCCTACTGTCCATAAGTTGTATTTCAGGGAGTCCTCAATTCATAGGTAGCATTTTATATTTTAGTTTAATAGAACTTTAGTGGATTCAGACAGTTGATTTTTTGACTCCTTTAAATTTTTGCCATTTATCATGTCATGTGTCAGGGAATTTTACAGGTTGATCTTTACTTTCTATGAAGAAAAATCTCAGATTTTAACCCTATTGGATTCCTGTCTCTTTGAATGCCCATGAGGGACTGGGAAGCAGCAGTGAACAATTGTTTGATGCTTACTCACCTCCTCCTTGCCATTCAGGATTTTAGCAGCTTTAATCATGTCCTTTCTCCCCCACCTCTCTGTTTACTCCTGGTTTAGAAGCTCTTCTCTGGTTTTGATCATCCTTGGAGCACTCTCTTAAATCTTTTTCCTGCTCAGTTTTTTTCTGAAAGGAGCAGAGCAGGAGTGTGTACAATATCCAGCTGAGTGCTCTGTGTATTTGTGTTGTGGCACAATGGTGATTTGCTTTTTTTCTGTCCTATGATTTGTGGGAAAAACTATATAAAAAACTTGCAAAAGTTGTGAAGTAGGTATGTGTTTTTATTTAGTGCTGGCTGCATGCAGAATAGTTCTTTAAAGAACATGTGCACTCTCTGGGAGTCTAGTTTCCTTTTTTGTCTCTTAATTTGCTGTCTATGTGTGAAGTTTCACAATAGGTTAATATTTATTTATAGATGTCACTTATATTTAATTTATAATTTTATATATATAAATATAATATATATTTGTATTATGCCTTATATATATAAAAATAATATATAATTATACATACGTACATTATAATAAATAAATACATTACTACATAAACATCTATAATAAATGTACTCTATACTATATATACTATGTAATAGTACATATAATATTATATAATTATTATATAATAATATATAATAATATAACATATAATATATATTTTATATATTATTGTAGTACAATAAAAATTTATATTTAATTTATATTCTTTTATATCTATTTACTAATTTCACGTTACAATCTCTTCTCATCAGTGCTTGTACAGAGAGAGCTATTTGGTTATTTGTTTCTTGTACTTTCAGTTTTGGTTTGCTTCTTGTACTTTCAGTTTTGGTTTGCTTCTTGTACTTTCAGTTTCGGTTTGCTTCTTGTTTCAAGGTCTAAGGGGCTCTTTTTATCTTCTTCTAGTTTGGCAATTTACATTCTTTTTGTTTGAGGTAGCTTTGTAAGTTACAGGTTTTTTATGAGTATAGTAAGTTAATTAGGTTTTTAGTAAATTAATACAGGCTTTTTGCAAGTACAGGAAATTAATTAAACAAGTTAAACAATTCCAAACAGCACACTTCACTTAACTCTGCAATGGATTTGTAGCCAAAGTGAATTCTGAACTTGGTGTCTCACTTGCTCCTGGGCAATGGGGACACCCCGGTGACGGTTCCGAGTGTGTCCGATGCCCCTGGAATGTTTTTCCCTGGGTTTGGGAGGGCTGTGTGCATTCCTGACAGCACCCCTGTCTCTGCAGCTGCTGATGGCATGGTGTGCAACGAGCTGTGCTCCAGTGATGGCTGCTGGGGTCCAGGGCCAGACCAGTGCCTGTCCTGCAAGCGCTTCATCCGGGGCAGGACCTGCATCGACTCCTGCAACCTCTACGACGGGTAAGACTCTGCTCCCAAAGCTCCTAATTAGCTTTATTGAGGACTTCAACGAGCAAGTCATTTGGGGTTTGCATTAATCAGCATCTGGCTCCACTGCCAGTGTTACTGATTTGGGGTGAAACATGTCATGGGGTAAGACTTAAGGATTTCTGAATCTGAACGTGTGTGGAAGGCTGTCCCTGGTATTCCACTGACTAAAAGTTTTCATGCAACATCATCACCTTGCACCTATTGTATTGCTGGTAACATGAACAGTTTGATTTAGGTGAAAAATTACCAAAAACCCCTCATTTTTCCCTAGTTGATACTCTTTTTCAGAACCACACAATTATATTCTTTCAGACAATTTGGATTCAGGCATCTGATCAAGAAATTCTCTGAATAAGGACCCCAAAGTAGAAAAACTCACTCTCTTTTTCATAATGCACTGTGTAATTGTACACACAAATATAAATTTAAAAACCAGTAGGAGTTCTTGCCCTTTTTCCTTTTGCTGCTTGTACTGGGGGAATACCTCCACAGCACAAGATGGTTGAATCTGCCTCATGACAGAAAAATAAAGCTGAACTGAGCCAAATGAACTCCCACAAATGCATGAAAATATTCTCAACTCTTCCATCTGGAGAAGGCTTGCAAAAATACTTTGTCAGAGCACAGTTTTATGTACTTAAAATCTTCTCTCCTCCCCCTTCACCCCTTAATAAGGAGAGTTGCAGACCCCAGTTGTGTTGTCAGTGCACTGGAATAAGTTGGTGCCCCCTTGATGTCTTTTGCTGCCATGGAGCCTGTCACAGTGAGAGCATGATGAGACTCAGTCAGTGTGTTCTGTTCTGTTCTCTGCCCATCAGTGAATGGCGCTGACAATGTCCACAAATCTTTGTCATGTAATAATATTTATAACCTGGGCTGGGGGAGAACTTTTTGTTTGTGGGAGAGCACTGCATGTTGATGCTGTAGGGCAGCAACAGTTCTTTAGGGTGGGGTCAAGCTGTATTGGACATCTCTTTTAGTCCTCAGCAGGAAAAATCCACTCCCAGAGCCAGGGAAGGGTGAGCTCAAGTGAGGTTTTCCCCAGCTCCATCCTGATGTCCTCAGCAGATCCTAATGGCTGTAGAGGAATGAAGGATGAGCAGTGACCACCTGTGCTCAGAACCTTTACCTGGATGCTTCTGGAGCCCCCTGAAATGAGTGTGCAGGACATCTGTAACTGGTTAATGCAAATATTGTAATTGGTTAATGCAGCAAGATGGGATCCCCTGGCAAAGCTTGACCTGGCCCACTCTGAGCCTGCTACAAAGATTCGGTCTGTCTTTAGTGGGGGAGAAACAACTTGCTCAGATGAATTAATCTTGGCCTAGAAGAAGATGGGATGGATTGTGTTGGGAGAGTGCTGGAAGTTTGTGGTGAGGGGAAACTGGCAGGTGAAATGTTTGAAGGAAGAAATTTAACCTACTTTTTCCCCCTTAAAAGTGGTTAATAAAAAGTGGTAGTTTCTTGTGGATACATGAAATAAATGAGTAAAAAGATGTGTTTTGACATGTTATAGATTGAGACGACAGTCTAGAATTATTGCTGAAAACATTGAGCCTTTTGGAGAAGGCTTTAAAATGTGTTCATAGAGACCTACCTGCAACAAGGGCAGCTCTGTTATCAGTGCTCATATGTGGCAAGTGGCTTCCTGAATCTGAGCCACAGTCTTGTAGGTGAACATCAAGAAACCAGCAGTTTTGTCCTGTTAATGAAGTCTGTATTTCTGAATTACAGGAAGGCCCTCACTGTAGTTTTGTATCACCGGCCAAAGGCTATGTACAAATCACAAATGGGATGGGACTGCTAGGAACGTGTCCTGAGCTGTTTTATTTTCCAGCATCAGTCTCATTACATGCTTATGGCAATGAGAAGATAACAGCAGCTCTATTTTATAAATTCCCACATTGTATGTTGGTGAAGAAGGTGTCTGCTTCACGTGGCTGTGGTTGGGGTGGTGGCCGTGACAGGCTGCTGGCCTCAATGCCTCTGAGATCAATTCCATCAGGTGAACACCCAGCCAGGTGAGCTCAGTTCTGTCTTAGAGTCAGATTTCTCCTAACCTGCCTGCAAAATATTTCCTCAGGGAATTCCGAGAGTTTGCAAACGGCTCTGTGTGTGTGGAGTGTGATCCCCAGTGTGAGAAGATGGAGGAAAACATGATCACCTGCTACGGGCCGGTAAGGACACAGCCTGTCGTGTTTGTGGGGTTTGGTTTGCTTGGTTTGGTATGGTTCAGGGTAAAAATGTGCTGAAGGAAAAAAAAAAATTAGTGAAACAAAAGCAGAAGACACACATATTCTGTGTGTAGGGAAGGAATTCTGCTTGTTCTGAATTGGTGCTGGGGATCTGCCTCGGATCTGCCTCCTTACGAAAATGATTTTAAAAGTTTTCTTTCCTGAGTTATCTTAATGCTTTGGTGGTACAGATGCATGCAATTTTTACAGACTGACAGCATGCAGTTGGGGTTTGAGTGCCTTATTTTATCCCTATTTTCCTTCTTTATCCACCATCTCCCTTTCCAAAAAAACTGTGGGGGAATTTGTCTCCATCCCTCAGTTTGAACAATATGCTGGGAAGTTTTTTGTACTTAGATAGCATTTAATTTCTTTTGATAGATAGCATTTTTCATGCATACTAAATGATGGTTAACTCTTTCTCACCTTTACAAGGGCCAGTAACTTTTCTTTCAAAGATTATTGTTCATTTGGGAGGTAGAAATTGTCTCTTTCTTCTAGTTTTCTGTGTATTGCCAAGATTAAAAGTCACAAGTATACTGGAAATGAGGAGTTGTATTTTAGGCTCCTCATAATTGAGAAAATATAGCCAATAACTTATTTCCTTATTTCTGTGACTTACTGAATGAAAAAAAGAAAGGCATCATAATTTTTCTTACAATACTGTGTTTTTCTGCAAGTAGTTAATGTTTCAAGTGTTGAGCCCTGTTGCGGTGTGATGTAAATTTGGATTTGTAGCAGGGTTTTTGGACATAAAATCCTAGGCCAATGCTCAACCTGATTTAGTTATACATTGGTTTACCATCACAGCTTTAAAATTTTACTTTTACATTGCCCCGGAGTCTTGGTTTGTTGGTCTAAACAATTTGGTCTTCATGTGTATTAAGAAGAAGACATAGTCATTTATCTTGTAGAATAAAGGACCTTGTATCCTTTCATTCTTGCTGTGACCAGATGCCATGTGCAGAATGCTTGTGGAAAATAGTTTTGGGGTGCAGAGGCAGGAGATCCCACTGAAAGCTTTGCAAAGGTTCAGTACTAAATAATGTAGCAGAAACTTTCTCAGCATTAAAATGGGTGCTGACTTCACTGTATTAAGCACACCAATAATATTAAGAAGCTCATCTAGAAGCTGGTACTTAGTTTGGCACTCTACAGAAGAAGCTTATGGCCAAAAGCACCAGGATTTGTGTCTTTGCTGCTCCCTAACAGAGGCTGGAGCCCTGCAGGTAATTACCAGTTCCTTGGGAAGAGGAGCTGTTGCAGGTGTGCCAGTGCAACCCTAGTGCAGCAGGAAAGGACAGAGTAACATGAATGCTCTACATTTCTTTCTTCCATGCTCTCCAGGGTCCTGACCACTGCACCAAGTGTTTCCATTTTAAGGATGGTCCAAATTGTGTGGAAAAATGTCCTGATGGCTTGCAGGGGGCCAACAGCTTCATTTTCAAGTACGCCGATGAGGATCGGGAGTGCCACCCGTGTCATCCCAACTGCACCCAGGGGTGAGTGCCAACTCTGCAGGGAGCCCTCCAATCCATGCACTGCTCCCAGCACAGGGTGCTTCAGAGCTAGTTTGGCTTAGTAAAGCATTTGTCCCACTCCTGAAAAGAGAGTGTGCAGTAGGAATTCAACCTTTGACTTTCAGTCTCTCAGGTTTTAGTCATGAATGCCCAGCAGTTTATCACAAAAAAACCCTTCTGAGGACTAAAGAGAAGAACTTTCCACAGCAATGCTCTGAGATTTCCTTTTATACTGATTTGTAGCAAATGCTGCCCTGTCACTTAGTTTTAGGCTTGTAAAATGAATTTATTTTTTTTTTTAGTATTTTCTCCTTGACAGAATCTCTACTACTTGGTATTGGTGAAGTAAGCCTGCAGCACTACTGTGAGACAAAAGTGCTACTGCTCTCCTTTCCCTACAGGAAATGCAGAAAGTTTGAAACCAGACTTTGCTCAGTCTCAGGCTCCTGTACATCAATTTCTGAAGTCCTGGTAAAGTGCCCAGAATAGTTTATTTCACTTGGAATTTGTTACACTTGGAATAATACAGCCCATGAATCTGAACCAGAATTAAGAACTTGTACAACACAACAATGGTCACATGCACACCTATAGTTTTGCACAGGCCATGGAAGTTACAACTGCCTTTTCCATGGGCCAATTCAGAGTGTCCAGCATACAAGAAGAGGAAGAGGCAGCAATGGGAAAAAGAGAAAACATCAGCCAGTGAAATAATCTTCGACAAGAGGCTCTTATTGTTTAGCAGCTAAAATTAAACCAGTAAATTATTCAATGTAATCTTGATGTCAACAGCTGTTGCCATTCAAAATGAGACCTTTTGCTGGTTTTGCAAATCTAATTACAATGGAGCCATTAGGGAAATGAGAGGGAGATCACAGAGACACAGCCAGGATCTGTTACACATTTGTCTCCCCCCCAGACCCTTTAAATCAGTTATGCAATAAGAAAAATGCTGTTACTGTGGAAGAAGAGGGTAAGAAGAAACGATATTAAAAGACACTCCAGGAGCTCTGGTCCTGGTTTTCATAGGTGGAGAAGGTGCCAATGCTGATCTAATCTGACAAAACCACAGAGGTGTGATGGATTTACTGTGCCTTGCAGCTCTCCTGGCCTCCAGTGAGCAACACTTCTTCCTATTTTCTCCTCTTTCCTGAGGAGTTCTCACTGACTCAGCTGTTTCTAGTGTTTGTGGCCCAACTGTGTTTCTCCTAGACCAGGAAGACTGTAGAAGGTTTTCCATTCCTTTCCACTTCTTCGTAGGCATTCATATTTTGCAAGTGGCTGTTTATTTTTATCTGCCTGGATTGAGAAGGCAGGTTTTTATGTCTTGTGCTGAAAATGTGACCTTCTAGCTCATGCACAGATATGAGGGGCATTAGGCAGTTCTGGCTGACCTTGGCAGTCCTCATTGGCAGCTGTTGCTGACACTGGGTTCCCTTATGCCAAATGATGTTGTAATCCTTGGACTTCTGGTTTTCCCTCCTTTTTATTTTCTCCTTCTGATTAGGTGAAAGAATGTCCCAGTGTGCCCATCCCCATAAAAAGGACAAGTAAAAGGGCTAAAGGTCTCTCCCCCAGTTATGTACACAAAGCCCATGATGTTCCCATCTCCCAGATGAGGAACTATCCCTTTTCCATGACAATTTCCCTATGGAAATCTTTGTCCTCTTATTAAAAAGTTGATGTGTCTATTCTTGGGTATTTTTTTTTATCCCTTAGAAAACCAGTGTTGTCTTCCCCCCAAGTGTGGGTAAGCATGGCTTGCTATTCATTTTATTGTTCCTAGAGACTTTGTGGCATGTAATTATGTTAATGAAGCTATTTATGACTGCCCAACATGTTTGGGGTTTACAGGTTGTCCATCTTCTTGCCAACATTGTCAGGGCCTGAATATGCCCATGGAGAGAAGGGAAATCAGTTCTTCTCTCCTTTCCTCCTTCAAGGCTGAATTCTCTGGTTTCATACCTTTCCTTTAAGACAGTAATATTTAAATTCCCCTCAGTCATGATTCTTCACTGAAATATGTTGTGGAGAGAACACAGCTTGCTGTTTGGCTCATGGCTGAGAGGTAGAGAGAAAACTTAATTCTGCTTCCTCCCCCACATCTGTTCTCCCAGCTGCCAGATCAAGTGCTGGAATTTCACCAGTGCCCTCTCAGTACAGCTGGGATACCCATCCAGAAGGGCTGAGCTGCTGCAGAGCAACGCTTCCCAGGATGATATTATCTCATTCCTGCAGTGCTGCTTGATAAAATAGGTTATTAGTCCTCATGTGATGTTTCCAGTCATCCCCACCAGTTGCACCAAGAAAGGACCTGTCCCACCTCTGTTTCCTGTGTTTTGCCAAAAGTTACATCTTGGCATTTCCAGAGGACTGCTTTAGTGAGCTTTGCTAGCACCGTTCTCCTCCCTTATTCAAGTGTAATGACTGTTTTTCTTAATAGGTGTGTAATTAGCCAGCCCTGTTAATGACCTTGCTTTGACCAGAAGAACTGTCAGACAGAGACATCCTTGGGTGCAACCACTGTGCTCCTGCCCTTGCATCCCTGTGATAAGTATCAGCTACTTGCAGCCAGTTTGGAGCAGATCTGAGGCACGTGGGACAGCCATCCCACTTAATTCAAGAGAGTTGGAAAGCATTTGGCACCTTTTCTTGCAGAGCCAGCCAAAACTGAACACTTGCACAGGAATAAAACACTAATTACACAATAGCAAGTGACAGCCTGCTTCCTTGCTGGGCAGGACACAAATAGGGGAGCTCACTGGACACCTCCCCTGGTCACACAAACATGTTTTGTCACACAGCTCTTTGAAGAGAGGGCATTACTCCTCACCAAAATTCTCTTTTCCTTCTAAGCCATGATCAGAGAAGTCAGGGGAGCTCCAGCAGTGAGTGGCCCTGAAAGGATTGGAGGGCAGAAGCACCATGTTGTCTCTAAAGCTTAGGTGTATTTTTAGGAAGAAAGTTTGAATTCCAGATGAAAGAATAATGCAATCACACTCTGGATAAGAAAACTGTTACCCTTTTGTTTTGCAAAGTTTCTTCCTAGCCCCTGCTCCAGTTCAACTTTGTTCCTCTCACCTGTTAGCTCAGTAGCCCTTGGGCAGAGTTGTCTGATTTTATCCATAATAATAATTGTGTGACCATCACAAAAAAGGTTTTCTCCTGCCCAGAGATAATCCACTTACACCATTGTAAAATGAGTTTTGTTTGTTTCTAGTGACCAAGATTTTTGAGAATTCATCTGGTGTGGAATGGCTTTATCACCCCATATCCGTGCAGTTAAAACCCCACCTTTCAATCTTAAAGAAGGTTGATAAATGACAATATTTCTGGATTGTTCCTGGAAAAAAAATAGTTGTTATTGCAATTTTCAAAACCCCAAATTTCCTTTCAGAGGATGATTATCTATTAAGCTAGGATGAGCTCCAAGTGTAATTTTCTGGATAAGCTGTATTGAACTTTTGTAAGGTACTGAATATATCATTAATGAATTGGCATGTCTCAATTAACCAGTTCATTTTACAGAGCCAACTTGGAAAAGAAAATATCATCCAGACTCCAAGCAGAAGGAACACTGGGTGTGAACAGTGTGATGTATGATTTTGTCAGGCTTATATGTGCCAAAAAGCCTGGAATGAAGGGAGTTCCCTCCTGGAGAAAAATACCTGGTGGTATTTTTTTTGGTGGTACAAAATACCCTGTGAATGAATATTGCCATGACTCACACAGTGTTGTACTTCCCTGCATGTAATCAGGACAGCCACTCAGGAGGAACCTGGGAACTGCCTCACTAGGAATAATGGAACTGCACCTGGACAGAGTTCTCTCTTTGGGAAAGCCAAGCCCACTGAAGAAGATTACAATTTGAAATAAAAATCAATGATACTTCAACTTGCACTTGGTGAGGTCCAGCAGTACAGTTTGGCTTCAATCCTGTTCTCCAAATGAACATGTGAAGTGACTCCAAGGCTACAAGTTCTTGATGTCAGTCTGCCAGTTCTCTAAGCCAGCAGCAGGCTCTCAGACCTCTAATTGGAAGATCCTCTTCTTTTTATTTACTGCAAGAGTCTGAGCTCAGCTTTTTTTAGCATGGTAGGAAATGGACAATCTGAGCAATTCTTCAGCCTCCTTCATTGCTGAGCTTGTTTTTTCCAGATTGCTGAGAATACCATGAAAGGAAGAATCATTGGATGTATTTGAGATGGGTTACAATTCAGACAGTCCTGAATTCTGAAGTGCTGATGCCCAGGACAGATGAAATTCCAAGAGTTCTCTCTATTAAGTTTTTGAACTGTGTTTAAATCAACCCTTACATTTATGCAGTATCTGGATTTTTAACACATCTTTTTTATGCTGGAGGAAGCAGTCATTGAGGAAATCCTTCCAGTTTGTGTTTGCATGTCAGAGTAAATGTCTTATGTAAAAATAAGAATTCAAGTAAACAAACATGGGGTAAGGTTTACTTGGTCTGCTCTCCCTGATGAGAAGGTACAGGGAAATTGAATTCATTTTCTAATGGCAGAGTGATCCCAATTTAAATGCAGCAGAAGCTGAGGAGTGGCAAGTGATGGTGAAGCAGACAGAACATCTCGTGGGAGCTTATTTGAACTTTCAGATTTTTTGACATGCATATCCTTCCATCAAAGCCAACCTGAAAAAACAGCAAACTTTAAAAGAGTTGGGGATCACACCCTAAATTTGAAATGCCTCAAGAGAAGTAAGTTGCAGTCTACTGACGTGTCAGATCACCTCTGCTGCCTGTAGCAGATGTACAGCCAAAGGGCCTGTTAATAAAATGGCTCTGAGATCTTCTGAAAGAATGGAAATAAATGGTTTGGTTTCCTTAAATGCCAAGGGCCAGGTACTCCCCATGGCTAGAGTGCCTAGCTGGGTGTGCAGCACTGAAGGGAATCAGGTGGTTTTAACCCCTAAAAGCACAACTTTAGTTTCTGAGAATCCTGACTGCTGTGTAAATGTGTATTTGACTTGCTGTTTGAATGCAGGGGACCAGGAAACCAGTCCTGTTCTTCATGGGGACAAGGGACATCCACACATGGCACACATGTGTTCTGCAAACTCTTTTCCATGGCTGTGTTTTAGTGGTGCTGCATTCCTTGCATTTCCAGTGCCTTTGGTGAGCACCTGCTGATTGTGCAGGTGGAGAACTCTTGGCGGCATCTAAGGAAAGCAGAATAAAATGTCTGAATCAGCAGACACCATTTTGCTGTGGTTTTTGTTGCTTTTGTTGGAAGTTGATCCTTGAGAAAAAGGATTTCTTCAGTTACCTTGGCTGGGAGCTTAGAACAAAATGAACAATTGCATCAATTACAGAAAGAAAAGCAAGTTTTGGATTGTGCTCCTGGAAATCTCGACTTGTAAATTAACAGCTTTTGTGCAGTAATCACTGGTTTGATGACTCATAAAAACACACAGGAAAAGCAGCCCTGTTGTCAGGACTCCCACTTACACAGGTGAAAGTGTTGTTTGAGCCAAGATGTGGCCTGCCTTGGAATGCTATTGCTATTATTGTTCCTCTTGTCACAAGCTATAATTTTTTGGTGACATAGGTCTCTGTTAGCAAGAGAAGAGCTAGAATTAAGAACACAAAGGGGATTCCTGCTCGTTGGGTGTGTAAATAACAGCTGTCTCTCTTTCTCTCCCTGTTTCCACTTTGGATTTGCTGCAGGTGCATAGGGCCACACCTGGAGGACTGCATTGGGCTGATGGATAGGTACTGGCTGGCTGCTGGCTGCCTGTGTGTCTCCATCCTGCACGTGTGGACAAGGGCGCATGCGTGTGCATGTCCTGGGGCGTGGCAATGACGTGGTTTGTTCTGTAATTGCCTGCAGGTGTAGAGGCCCAGCTAGTCATGACTGCATTTTCTATCCATGGACACGGCAGTCCACTCTGCCCCAGCACGCTAGGTAACATCCCCACCCCATCCTCCACACCTGCCATGTCATAGCAGCCAGTTTGAACACACACACACACCTTGTATTCTAGAAAATCTGACTCCTTGCAGCCAAATTTGCTTTCTGTTTGAAAGCCATTTAGGTATTCTGCTCATTTAAGCTGATTTTTAAAAGTGTTTTTATTTTTAGCTTAAATCAATAAGGATTAAATTCTGAAATTTTCCTGTAGATATTCATTCTACAGATTGAATTTCAAAATTCAATTTTATTAGATGGTAAAAATTTTGGTAAAATTGTTTGGTAAAATTGATGGTAAAATTCTGGAATGCGCTTGTTTTTCTCTTTATTGCGGTTTTTTGTTGTTGTTTTTTGCTTAAGACAAAATTTAAAAGCAAACGAGCCTCTTCCATGCACCTTCCCATGGAAAAATAAATGTCATAGCAAAACAAAATTTCTTCCTTACTTGAAATAAAACTATTGTTTGATTTTTTTTCTGTTTAAAAGAAAAATTGTAACCTGCCAGCAATTTTGTTTTTCAGTAATGACAATTGAAACAAATTAATGTAGGCTTTATTCTGCATTCTTTTTCATGAAAGCCCCACATTGCTATTGAGTTTGTTCATTCTTAAATTCAAACTGGTTAATATGACTTCTAGGCTTTGGGATTACTCTCCTGAGCTAAGACTAGATGAAAAATGCATAAATTCAATCAAACCCACCTCATTAAGATTTTCAATCTGAGTTTTTTTCTTGTCTTTTTCAAAAGTTTTTAAGGTTGCCTTTCCTTCCTAATTGTGTACATAATGTGAATATACCTATTTCTAGCTTAGGAGGGAGAACATATTTGGACTTGAAAAACAGTGCACGGTAAATGCTATAAAGCAGATGGTATATTTGTTTATTAAATCAGTATCAGTTCTGACTTAATTCATTAACCAATTAATAAGCAGCAGAAGATGAATTTTTCAATATTTTAATGTTTTGTTTTAATCTTTCTGATTTGGGATATCCATTTTGAGATATTTTTGTGGGGCCTCATTTTCAGATGGACTCATCCAAACAAAGCTGTCCCAGTTTTAAAGGTCCCAATTTCATCAACTTTACTCAAAACACAAATATCAAAAATGCGTTATTATTTCCTTGAGTTTACAGGCCTTATCAAACTACAGAAATGAGAGGAATTGTTTTACTCTGTTCAGTGGTTTTACTCCTGCTCCCTTCAGTCTCAAATGTTTCTTGTTTCCTTTGGATCTGATAGATATTTTTTTTGTTTGTTTCAGCCTTGCTGAATTTATTCTAGGAAAACTACTGCACTGTGTTTAAATGTCAGTATGTATTCTTTCACTTTCAAGGCAAAGAAGGAAACTTCATACCTCTATAATAGATTTGTGAAATTGTGCTTTTTTTTTTTATTGTGAAAATTGTTCATTCTATTTGGACTAAAAATGGGCAAATCTGCACTGGCAAAGTGACACTTTTTGTTACAGTAGGGCTGTAAATCCAAAATGGATGTGTTTAACTTCAGATAGAACCTTTTTCATGTCTCTTTAACAGCTGTGCACCCTCCTGAGACTTATAAATCTTAAATTAATTAATAATCAGTCTGACCCTTACCTATTGACTTGAGTTTTTTCCATTGATGTGAATTATCAGTGAGTAGAAGGGGACAGATTTTTCTGCTGAAAGTGAGAGCAGGGCTTTAACCCAAACAAGAAATTCCTCATCTTCTCCTATTTCCATTTTCATAGCAGTGTTGCTTTCCTTTCCAGTTTTTTAGTTTGCAAATTGTTTGTGCCATGATTCATTGACTTGAAGGCTTTTGTAAGAGTGTGGTAGAATAGCAAAGGAATTCTTTCTGTCATGTTTAATCAAGATGAATCAGATGTGCATCACATGGCTTGTTTTCCAAATGAATGGTGAAACTTCAGTTTTTCTGCTTATCTACAGTCCCTTCAAGTTTGTGGGAAAACAACCTTACTTTTGGCAATGCATTTCTTTCTGCATAGTTTGGTTTTGGGTTTTTTTTAACCTTTAGGTTCAGTAGAGTTCTGTCCAAAATAATATCTCCTCGTACAGCTTCCTGTATGGATTATTCCTGTAGGGCTTTGGTTTTGGTTCCACCTTCCATACCAGTCTTTCCTAGAAATTGCCAAAACAAAGATGGCAAGCAGAAGAAGGCTGGAGTTTCCCAGGATGCCCAAAGGAGTTGTCCATCCTCCTTTCCTGCCTCTCATTACAATGCCACTCCTCCATTTGCTACTCTCTGGCAGTTACTTCAGTGTTTTCTGAGGTTGGAGTAGCACACAGTATAACATTACAGCATATTCTGGAACAATCAGCAAAAAGATGATTATGTCTGCTCCCAATATGGGGATAGCTGTTGTTTAAAAGGATTCAAAAACTGTAAAAATGATGCTCTGCTGTTCATTAAGAAAATACTCTAGAGAGTCAGGAAAGGCTGGTTCCTTTCAGGTTCACCTGAAAAATTTAGCTAAGTGCAGTGACTTAAGTGAGACTGTGGACAAAGCTTTTCCCTAAAGTATGAAATTTAATTGGTTTATCCTTGCTAGGCTTCATTCACCTTAATAGTAGGAGAGATCATCAAAGGAGGAGTGAAGTTTCTGTTTTCTGGAGGATGTGAGATTGTACATCTACAAGTGTGATAGGAAAGAACCAGCAGCAGCAGCACTGATGTTCCTGGTCTGAGTAAGCTGCTGTCTCTGTTTACGCCCCGAGAAAATTTCATTTACATTTCCCTTTTAACTAACAGAAACTAATTAGCCAGGCCCACTATTGTCAAGTGCTTCAATAGAATGTTGTATAGATGTTAACTCTAATTACAATGCTCTTGCTAGTTTTGTATTCAAAAAGGATGTCCTCTCAACAAATCATCACTTCCTCAGCAACAACAACAAAAAAAAGAGCTGGTTTTATCTACTGCTTATGTGTACAAGAGCTAATTAACAGTAAACCCTGTGTAATGCAGGCAAATCCTTTCATAGCTGTTTTGTACCCTGTCAAAGTATGACTTCAGCAGAATTTCACAGCAGCTCTCAGTAGTTGGTGGGGAAGGGAAACCACCTCTAATAAAATGCTTATGTTCATGGTTTTCACGGTGCTCAGTTCCATTGCTTGGAGGAAAGCACTCCATATGCTCTCTGCTTTTATAGAATAATTATATTATTCTGGAGGGGAAGAGGATCTCTGTATAAAATAAGAGGGAAAATAAGATCTGTGAGTACCAGCTAATCTATGGTACTTGGTTGGTAAAAGATGCTGCTCTTGAGAGACCCTTAAAATGGAGCTCTCTGAAGCTGTATCAGAACAGAGCAGTTGAAGAAACAGGTTTATTTTTTAAAAATCCAGACTAGAAAAAACAGTTTCAGATCCTCTGTGGGTTGCATAGATCATAGATGTCATCAACAGGACAAATTCACGGAATCGCAGACTGAGCTAGGTTGGAAAAGACCTTTGAGATCATCAAGTCCAACCTATGACCTAACACCACCTTATCAACTAAACCACAGCTCTTTTTAAAATATTTTTTTAAACTCTTCCAGGGACAGTGACTCCACTACCTCCCTGGGCAGCCCCTTCACCCTTTCTGTGAAGAACTTCCAGTGCCCAACCTAAACCTCCCCTGTGTCCTCCTGTCCCATTGCTGGTTGCCTGGGAGAAGAGACTGACCCTCACCTGGCCACAACCTCCTTTCAGGCTCATGAAAGAGACTCATAGGGAAATCCCAGTTCTGTGGGTGACCTTGCCTCTTCTGAACTGGTTCTGAAGCCAGACCTTTGCTGAGGGTATTTTAATTCTCGCCATAGCATTTCCCTGCCTGGAGCTTTAGGAGGAGTACCTTTGGGGTACCCCTGGGACATGAATGAAAGTCACTGCAGTGATCTTGTGAGCTCCTCCAGTTTTTTTAACACTTCCATATTTTAAGATTGGCCTTATTGTGAGAGGGTGTGGGTGGGTATTCCTTCTTTCCTGTCGTACAGATAGAATCCTAGAATGGTTTGGGCTGGAAAGGATATTTATTCTTTCCTGTTCTACAGATGGAATCCTAGAATGGTTTGGGTTGGAAAGGACTTTAAAGCTCATCCACTTCCAACCCTCCCTGCCACAGGCTGTGACCCTTCAACAACCTGAGGTTGCTCCAAGCCCCATCCAACCTGGCCTTGGGCTCTTCTAGGCATGGGGCAGCCACAGCTTCTCTGGGTGACCTGTGCCAGGGCCTCAGCACACTCACGGGGAAGAATTTCTTCCTCATATCTGACCTAAATTTCCCCTCTTTCAGTTTGAGGTCTGACCACAGTTAATAAATGGCTCAATGTGTTAAAGCTTCTGTTCTGAACCACCTTCAGAAAGATTTGTCTGTGATCAGTGAGGGCTTCATCTGCTTTACTCAGCAGGGTTGGCTGGCATGGACTCATGGTATGGAAGGACTTAGTAGGGTATGCTGCTGTAGAGAGAAATAAACTCTACAGCAGCATACCCTGGTAAGGTTGGGAGAGTGCAAGAGCTGGAAGCAATTCTCACACAATGCTGTTTAAAATCTGTTCTGTGGCTCCAGTGGTTTGAGGATAGTGTTGAGAGAGCGTAGGATAGAGCAAGGTGAGAAATCTGATGTTCCTAGGAGTTTGTTGTACAAGGAGTAGAAGGTGGGCAATAAACTCTTGCAGGATTTTGGTGCTGTTGATACTCATTGACCAAGTTTCCCAGCAGCTGTGCTGGTTTTTGATAAGAAAATTATTTGTTTGGAAAATTGACTAAATGGTCTTTACTGAAACTATGAGCAGAAAAATGGTGAGTGATGAAG